AATCAGGGCAGCAGATACTAAGATACATAATTCATTACTGCAAACTTTGTTGCCTATGTTAACAAATCACTGAAAATCTATATCAGTGTGCAAGCCCATATAAAAACAAGGCAGAACCCAAAAACTCTTGAGTAAGCTGGTAACAACTCAGTAGTTTTTAATACTTGGTACAAGATTACTCAGATACCAACTACCCCAGCACTGGGACTCAGAACAGAAAGGCACTTACAGACTCAAGTTATTATCTTAAAACCAGATTGCGAACAATTAGAAATGCCTTCTGAAACCAGAATACTCATTAAGACGGGTTGAGATCCAAGAAGATCTAGGACTTTCTAATGAGATATGTGCAGATGGAAGAGCATCCATCACCCCTTCTTCATAAAAACCAAACCACGCAGCAATCTTATCGGTATGGGTCACGAAAACAGGAATTTCTGGGGTAAAGAAGTTACTCTCTCATCACCTGTCACAGAACAGATATATAAAATAAGTGATTTTCTGCATGACAGCAACAACTTGTGGCACCTTCGCCATATTCTCACAGAATCCCATTTTACTTCTCTTTGCTCCAGCACTTGGAAAACCTTTTGCTTGGGAGGGACTGCTATTGGGGCATCCTTGATCCCTGGGTAAACAACGATCTGCAAAGATCCCTGTATTTAAGCATAAGGATACACATCTGCACGAGGATCTGACTCTTCAGCATATCTGGCAAGTTCCTCCTTGGGAAGCTGCATCCCACCACCTCAAAGTGTGGACCCCAGATCCCACCAGACTGAGACGTGGGGTTGCTCAAAGCCACGCAGCACAACCTTGCCTCTCCAGCCGTGGCAACTCCCGTGAGGAAGACAGCCCCACACCTACAAGGCGTAGAGCCAGATTAGTACCTGCTTCACCAATTCAGCTGAGAACAAATGCCCTCCATGAGTAACTGTCAGGGAAACAATGTGCTATAGAAATCTCACTGCGGGCAAATTGAAAAAAAAATTCTTTACTAAGGCCTTATACCATAGGCAAATATCCCACTGCTGGCAGAAAGAGACCTGGGGAAATAAAAGATGACTAAATATGGAGATTAAATCACTGCTATTAGCAGGTTTTGAGTTGCCTTTCAGGGGTGACACAGACGTGGAGAACAAAGGGCTAATTCATTTCTTCTACGTGTGCTTACAGAATCCTAGAAAAACTTAGGCTGGAAGAGACCCATGGGCTGGCTGGAACTCCTCTTGGTCCATCTAGGACAGACACTAACACACAGAAATAGCATAAATGATCATGTCAAGTCCTATTAATCTTCCTAATTCACAGAGTACTTTCACTCAAAAAAAAAAAAAAAAGCAGCACTGCTCGAGCCCAATACTGCCTGTCCTAACAGGACACATTATAGCTGCAGAGCCTGTCCAGACAAACTTGTCACCGTTCGTCACACTAAGCAACAAGAAGGAAGGAAATCTTTCCATAGGCACTAATGCAAGGCAGCGTGAATGCGGAAAGAAAATGGCAAGGGCTTTGCCAGGAGCCTGCCCCATTCGGTGCGTTGGTTCCCGTGGCTCAGCCTTAGCTAAGCTGGGCCACCCTGCAACACAACAAGGAGGCTGTGGCTTCCTCAAAGTAGCCAAACCACAAAAAGTTGCAATAAGCCGTTAAAAGCTTCTCCTTTCCCTCTGGCTGTGGTTACTTTTCTCATCCTTCCCTTCCTGCAACTGAGCTGATTGCCGAGTTTCCATAAAATGATGGCAAACGTACTTTCATCCAAAAAATAAGCAGAAGGGAAGAAGAAAACACCAGGCCATGGTTACTTAAACATGTTGTCAGCACTTCAGCCATAAGGAATACTGAAATGTTCAGGGCTTTGTCTGATCTAATTCCCCTGAGAAAGTTTCTGCTCGATCTTAAGAAATATGCATTAATACTTTGGCAAGAAAAAAAAAAGAACCAAAATCAGTAAGAGGAAAGTGGGTTCAGATGGTCAGACACTATTGTTCCACCTTCACCATCAGCAGAAGTAACCAGCTCTCAAGTGTATTAACTGCAGATATGCCTGGACCCTGAGCCAAAGGGAAAACAGCTTTAAAAAAGGTCTTACTTAAAGTAGATTTCTTTTGGAAGAGAGAAAGCAAGCATCCCAGTTTGAGAACAGAGGCACCATGTCACTCGGGGGCTGCACCAGTCCCAGGAGATATTCTTCAGACCTGCTCACAATGCATTTCCCCAAAGCCTTTTCTGGAGTTCAGACACCGAACAGGAACAAAAACTGGTTTTCAAATTAATAACCCAGCTTCAGACCATGTACTAATTTTGCTAAGCCAGCAAAGGATGAGTAGATGAGGGTACAAGAGTTTAGCTGAGCCCCTGGCAGATCTGCCACCAGCTCTTCTCTCCTCCTTCTTATCCACCGGTAACACTAGCCACGCCAAGAGAAAGATCCAAAGATGATCTGCATGGGCAGTTGAGCACGAGGCTGACAAAGGACCACTGTGCTCACAGGCTCATTATCCAAACAGACACATAAAACAAGGGAAGCCATTAAAAATCAGCTACGTGAGTTACCTAATGCTCTGTAGTACAGTATTTCCTAGCACCACTTCTCACATTTTTGATTTGCATGGGTCAAGGTAAATACTTGAGGGATGTCTCTTCTCTGAATTACCACTTTTTTAAAGTGGCTGAGTTCATTAGAGCACTCCCTGGGAAAGGAGCAATGCAAACCTACTAGACACTTGTGCGAAAAGCTGCTTAACCGTGAACAAACACATCAAATGTGAAGCAAGGAGAGAAGGTGAGAGATCATGTCAAAAGAGATAAAAGCAGAAGACGAGAGAGGCCATGTTGCATAATGCTGAGCACAGAAATAGGTCTGTATTGCCTAAATTGATGAGAACTATGAACAGAAAAATCAGGTGCTTTAGTATCACGAACTCAGGAAAAAATTGAGTGTGGTAGAACAGAACTGTTACCTTTGCATAAGCCAATTTTTCAGTTAAAATGAGTATTAAAAATGCTAAGCACAGCATGGTACTGTGCTCAAGGGTGCTGTCAGGAATTCAGTAATGACGCATTTATGATATTCATTAACTTACTAAGACATAAATATTTTGTACTGTCCCCAATTAATAAGTAACTTGTTAGAAAGGCAATTAACATTCACCAGAAAGATGTACAATTGAGTGAAATCACTAAAAACTAAATTAATGCTAAACTGTTGCAGGAGGAAAAGAAGAACTAGTACCATGAAACTGAAAAAAAAAAAACACCCCACTGCTTCTTAATGAGATAAGCAGGGACCCATGGAGGGAGGA